CGTGAGAGAAGGCACGTGGACACGAACCGTGCCATTTTCGAAGCTGGATATGTAGAGTATATTGTTTCCAGAAAAGAGATACCTTGGATGTTGAGGCAAGAAGCTCAAGACGAACTCTTTACCTCTGTAATCAACTGAGTCTGAAAGAGAACAGAAACAAGGACAATTTTATCAACCCTAAACGAGAAGACCATTTATTTCAGGCCCAATTTTGATCTCTGCTGCCTTTTATTCCTCTATGGTTTTCTCATATGTTTCCAATTGCTCTGACAAGGAGGATTGTTTAACAATCAAAAGGTTTTACTTGAAATCGTTTCAGTGACAGAAATGCTCTCAAAGAAAAACGAACGTTAGAAGCAGCAGGGCCACAGGCAACCCTTTTGAGAGTTGCAAGGTATTAGTACCCAGGACTCAACTCCCTTTTAAAGATGGCAGCCTCCGTGTGTACTTACAGTTATTTCGGGTAAGAAAGTATTTCAGATTTCCAGTTTAAATATCTATCATTTTCTTAGATTACTGGCATACGAAATGGGTAATTTGATACTTATCACAAGATGCCACTGTTAAAATTTGATATATTTTGTGATGTTCTTGTGCCGGTAGATGAATAGATACATTCTTTGCATCAAGATATAGAAGAGTAAAAAAAAGAATTTCGACTTTTTAATTAACCATGGACTGGAAGCGATGCATTATTTGCCAGAAAGCCACAGGAGAGAACTTGCGGTGCCTTGCAAATTGTCAAAGGAAAGATGCTGGTGCTGGGTTTGTTTCATTATATACAGATTCCATACTGCCATTGATCTGTTTAGTAATAGATGACAAATGACATTAAAATGCAGTGAGACCAAAAAAGAGGCACACAAGACTGATTCATGAAAACCGATCAGTCTGTTTGGCCATGATGCTAATAGCTTTAAGACTAAAGGTCAGAAAAGCTTACCTCGACAATGGACACCATCCCCAATGAATCCTTTTAGGCAGGAACAGTTGTATGAACCTACAGTGTTGGTACATTTTGCTTTCTTGTGACAGTTGTTGAGATCAGGAGCTTGGCACTCATCAAAGTCTGTTTAAGATAAAATTTGATAATTGGGGAATAGAAGAAATAAATAGAATGTTAAACTAAATAGAATGTTAAACTAAAGGTAAAGGTATAAATTTTGAGACTGATTGCCCTTTGACCCTTTCAATCCCAAGATATCATTATTTATTCTCCTTACTGGCTGCCATATCATTCTCATTATGTATGTTAAGAATATTTGGTAGTAGACCAACTAATCATGCCCTCATTGATATTTTTCTTTATTCTCATCTCTTGTCTGCTTGTTATTGTATTTGTATTATAAGGAGAAATTCTGTCTCGGTCACTCAAGTGAGTTAAAGGCTATTCGTGTGGTATAAAGTGATCTTCTATTTAAAAGTCATAAATCAAAACAAAGATAAATACTGTAAAAACCCAATGAGGGGTCAGATGACATGAATGACTTGGCAAAGTTTCCCATAACAGAAATTTTAACAGTTTTCACCCAAAAAAGTGTTGAATAAAGAACCAGTCATAATCTGAAATTATGAGATCCTCGCAGCTAAAAACACTACTGAAACAAGTAGTTGAAAATAGGACCTGAACTACTTGTTTCAGTAGTGTTCTTAGCTGCAAGGATCTCTTAATTTCATCTCTTCACCGCAGTGCAATTATATGAATTTCAGTCATAATCTATCACCTTGACGGAGGGGTCAGAAGATTTTGGAGGGATCATATGATTTTCAGGGGGGACGGTGAGGGGATCAGTTGTTGTTTAAAGAGTATAAAGGGGGGACTACAGATAATTTACTACCAATGAGGGGATCATAAATACTACAGAGAATACTACAGAGCCTTAGGAGGGGGAGGGGAGAAATCAGGTTGATTGGATTGTCATACAACCAAAATCTTCTGACAGCCCCAGAGATAAATAATGACCAGTTGATAAATTGTGAGGAATAATGAAGAGAGAAGAAAAATATAAAGATGGGGCTTGACGACTAAAAGAAACAATTATAAAATTTATACCTGTCAACTCAACTGATGTGGGGTCCACTTGGTATTGTCCAAGCATGCCACTTTTCAGAGTTTCATTCATGAATTCGACCAACTGCCACTGACTGATTTGAGCTTGTGCATCGATTTTAATGAGCACTCTTGGAATAACACTTCCATTGCTGTAAAACAGAAATGTCACATTAAATGAAGGCTAGTAAACGTAAAATATGGAACGTGACAATAACAAATCCCAAGCCGAGAGCTTACCTGAAATCAAGAACGGTTGCTGCTACAAAAAATTGTCCAAGTATTGATTTCGATTCCATAAATGTCTTTTCCAGCTAAAATTTGGACAGAAGAGCAAATAATAAAGTTATGTGGTGTGAGCATACGATTACCAAGTGCAAGCCGGGAACTTAACGAGAATTTCATTGACGATATCCGTGGTTCAATAACTTCCCTTTCAAGAAGTTATTTTCCTTGGCCCAAAAAAACCATGCTTATGTACATTACCTCAAGTTCCAAACCCCTTGAGAGGGATTTGAAGGCAGGAGATTCCATGTCTTGAAGTTCGGCCGAAAACATCTCGTTCGTTAGTTTGAATGACACAACATAGTTAGCTGATCTTCTCAACCCTAAAAACAGGTGAACTGACCAAATAACAGACAAGTTACAATGGCCAATCAGAACAATATATAATAGTGCGGGAAAATGGACATGCCCGAGTCCCATTTGGGCCTAGTTTTGTATCTGATTGGTTGGAAATTTGGTGCGAGTTTTCTCGACCAATCAGGAAATATTAAGCAAAAACTACTGATTGCAATCCTGCTTTATAAGCTGACGACAATCAGCTTAAGTATTGCACTAACCGAGTTCCAGCTTAAGTCAGGGACGGGGGGGGGGGGGGGGAGATCATGTAAATTTAATGGTGATGTAACCAAAATTCTCCAGCCTCCCCGCTTCCCATGATAATAGAAAATTGATTTAGAGTTATCTGACCTTTTGGTACAAGGATGATAACTTGTGCCTTTGTTTGACTCCCTCTACATTTGTCTTTCACGGTCCAAATTCGCTCCAGCCTCCCTTCCCTGTTTGAATTTAAGCAGTCATCTTTGTATCTGTCAGCGTAGGTTATTGTCACATTTCTCGGACACAAGTTTGTACTAGTCACTGTAACCTGTCCTGCAAACTTTGGATCA